GTAATCGCCACTTGGTAGACCACTCGTGCAGTCTATCTAGAGCCTCGTGTAATTTATCGGCATCATCTAGACTACATACTGTTGGCCAGAGGTTAAGAACATCAGCGTAGATCAAGCAGTCGGTTCGGAGCGCAACCGGGAGGTCATTTTTGTACATTTTGAAAATTTCGGGTCCAAGTACGGATCCTTGTGGAATCCCACTTGTCATGGGTACAGGGGCGGATGTGCTTTGATTGACCTTTACGTGTAGGCTGCGGTCTCTTAGGAAGTCGGCGATCCAGGAGAGGACATTGCCCGTCACACAGATCTCCCGAAGTTTGAATAGCAGCCTTTGTTGAGGAACTTTGTCAAAGGCTTTGCTAAAGTCGATGAAGACCACGTCTATATGTTTTTGGGCATCTATGGCTTGTATTAAATGGCGAGTATGAAATTGGAGACGCAGGAACGTGCTTTCCGGAAACCACGTTGGGATGGAGAAATTAGGCTGTTGCTCTCACAGTGTGACTGGAGCGCACGTTTGAGGATTCGTTCTATGGTCTTGCAGACGACAGATGCCAGGCAGATTGCGCGATAGTTCGCCGGATCTTGCTGGTCTCCGCCCTTGTACTTGGGCATCACAGTGCCTTCTCTCCAGTCAGTGGGTAAACGGCTGACTTCGAAGGAGTGGCGAAATATTTGGCAGAGGAGATCAGCGATGTATTTGACTATAGTCTTAAGGAATACGGGATGCAGCTCATCTGGACCAGGAGAGGAGTTCAGATCCAGTTCGATGAGCTTCATCACCACCTCGATTTGATCAAAAGAGGAACAGTGTGCAGGCAAAGTTTCTGTGTAGATGAGGCTCCACTGAGTAAACCGACAAATACTGCGAAGCTAATACATTAGCTTTTTTTTCGTCTTCGTAAAGCACAGTGCTTTTTTCAGAGAGTAGCGTGGGGATGCCACTACCCGCCCTGATGTTTCTTTTCAGGTACGAGAAGTTTCTTGGCCAGGCTGTGTTTGTACTGGAGTCGCTTGTTGCACTTTTTCAGGGTACAAAGGTTCCTTACAGCCTTGTACTCTGAGTAGCTCGATGCTAATTGTGTGGTCTTGTAGTGATCCCACAGTTTCCGTCGTGTTTTCATTAAAGATCTGATTTCTCTATCAAGCCAAGGGGAACTTTTGGAGTAAGACCTGACTTTACAGTTTGGAACGTGTTGTTCGATGAGCAACATCATCTTGGATCGTAGTAGCTGCCATGCACCGTCGAGATCCAAAGACTGCGGAATATTCCAATCCAGGGTGCTTGCCGCTGCTTTAAGTCTGGACTGGTCGGCTCGCCAGAAGTTGCGACGACGTGACCCCTGGTCATGAATTGTAAGGCATCGTGTCCACTGGAAGATGACAGAGTGGTCACTCTTGCCCAGCGGATGGAGGATCATTAACTCGGAGACGTCAGATGGGGCCGGAGTGAGCACCAAATCTAGAATGTGAGATGTTTGGCCTGGAAGCATCCGTGTTGGTATTAGGACGTGCTGCGTGAGGTTACATTCGAGGACGGTGTCTAGTAAGCGAACTTCAAAGGACTCCGTGGGAAGATCACTATGAAGTAGATCCCAGTTGATGCCGGGGCATAGAAATCCCCTATAACTAGACAGTTCGTGCCCTTCGCATTATTCCTCACTGAGCGCAGGAGGTAGGAGCCGGATGTTGATGGGGTCTGTAGATTACTCCGACCATCAGCGACTGGTAGCCATCGTGAATTCGATACCAGAGAACTTCTGATGAATAAAAGCTGTCGCAGTCCGTCTTAAGAATGTTGACCTTGAGGTACGATTTGGAATAGAGGACTACTTGACCTCCAGATCTCCGACTGGAGCGATCAGATCGAAAGAGATGATAACCTGGAAGTTGGCCCTCTGAGTCCGACATGTCTGATGACGGCCAAGTCTCAGTGAACGCCACTAGATCCGGTCGCTGCTCTGAAATAAGCTGAATCTCATCTAGCTTGTTTCTGAGATTGCGCACGTTAGCAGGTATCATACGAAGTCCAGAACTTACGCTTGAGATCCGGGGAGAAGAAGGATTAGGCTCCATCGTGTTCTCGGAGTCTGTTGCACTACGCGAGAATCCACAATGTGGAGGTCGGTTTCGCCATTCGCTCGAGGAGTTCGGAGCTAAATAACAACTTGTCTCATTCTGACTCGGTCCTCTGGGGAGAGGTCTTTCAGAACATAAAAGGTTTCCCCTTTTAGGCGTGAAGCCCGTCTCAGAATGCGCCGACATTCTTCATCGTCCTGACAAACGACTTTCAGTGGGCGCAAGTTAGACAGGTCATCCGTGTTTTTACCAACGCGAAAAGCAGACATGATGTTAATCCCCTGCTCGCCCTCATCGAACAGTTTTGATATTATTCTCTTAAGGAAGGCTTGATCATCGAGTATCCTCTTAGCAGCGGTGTCTGTCGGATTCAGGAACGTTAGTGATGATCAGGCAGCGGTCGCAGGGCGGAGTGCTGTTTCTACCCTGAGACGAAGGATTTTGTGCGTAAGTCTGCTTTTTAAGCTGTTGTTCCAATTGCGTTACTCTGTCAAGTACGAATTTCATCTCCGAGTGCGCGATGTTAGGCTTCACCTTGGGTTTTGAGGCGAGCTTCCGTGGGGGCTTGCTTGCAGCTGGGCTCAGGCTAGATGTTATTGGATCGGTGGCGCTCGACACAGCAGCATAAGCCTTAGGCTTGTTTTCCGACCTACATCTCATCTCACTGGGAGGTAGTGATCCTACCGACGTAGCGGAGGGAGTGCGGCATCGCTTTGGTCTGGGTGTGGCAGATCTAGATGCAGGTAAAGATACCGATGCGGTGTGTGGCTTATCTTCGATGTTAAGCACGGGCAGGGCGGCAGCGATACATAATGAATAAGCTTCCTTCTGGTTAAGTGGAGTGTGAGTCTGTAGAAGCCTTCAAAGGGGGCTTAGATGAGTGTTGGTCTATCCTTTTTCCAGATATTGTAATTGTACTGGAATATGTAGTGTATTTTGATGCTGACAAGAAACCGAAAAGATTTCTCTTGTTCTTGCTTCACTCCTTTGCAGAAGCAAAAAGTCAGTACAATGTCGAAGTGCCGGGGCCCGCTTCACTTACCGGCACAAGAAACTGGACGCTCGTTAGGCGAAAGCCTCTATCGTCCGTTTGACCTGACCTGAGCTGGTATATCGAGAAGCTGGGAATTGGCCAGAAGACCTTTGTCATTTATTACTGCGTCATCGATGTTACCGCAGGTTGTGTGCAGCCATCCTTCGCATAAGGCACACTGAACAGCCTTTGAGCGAAAAGTGACGCGTTTGCCACAATCTATGCACTTGGACGCCATAGCAGTTCGCTGTTTTGATAGAAACCTAGAAAAATCGGGAGCCAAGAATTTGACACATCGCAGTCATCCAAATGCGGCCGATTGGGAGAGCAGCCGCAGTTTCAATAACGTTACGGAATATAACGCTACTATCCGTGAAAAAGTCGCCACGACGGGGAGCATTTAGGTGCCTTGGATTCGACAGTTATACTAGCTGTTTTCACCACTGGCGGTGGGACTATCACTGCTGTTCCTAAAGTAACCGCAAAAAGCGGAGGGATGTAGTGTTAAATGGCTAGTTTAATGAATCGGGAAAATGCAAGTTATTATATAGTGATTAACAAGAGGTTAAATAGGAAGCCATAGATGCCCGAAAGCAGGTTGACGTAATATTCATTGACTTCAGCAAAGCCTTTGATAAGGTTCCACAAGTACGCCTGCTACATAAACACCAGGGAATTGGCATTACAGGAAATCTTCTCTCCTGCATTGCCGGTTTCTTAAGAGGTAGGACAATGCGCGTACAAGTGAACCAAACCCTCTGCTCCAGTGCATATGACTAGTGGCATTCCCCAAGGATCAGTGCTTGGACCGGAGCTCCTCAAACGGTACATTAACGATCTGCCTACTGCACTTCAAGCCGACTGCTTGATCTACACCGATGACCTCAAGCTATGGTCAACAGTATCCAGAATTGAGAATGCGGACAGATTATAAGGGGCTCTAGACCAGCTACACGAATGGTCCATCAAGTGGGAACTGCCAGTAAACCGTGATAAATGCGTTGTTCTCCCAATGGGTAGCACTGAACCGTACGGTGCATACTACATTGGTGGGTTTCTCCTCAGAACTACCACCCACGAGAGAGATCTCTGGGTTATCTTGACTCCTGACCTTAGAACGACGCAGGACACGTTCAAGAAGGTGGCCACTGGAAGGAGACTGGTGGGTGTTTTAAGAAGATCATTCGCTCGAATGACTCCTGAGATTTTCGACCTTTGTTCACTTTGTACGTCCGTCCAGTCTTAGAATATGGCCTTCCAGCTAGCCATCCACTTTCAAAGTTTGAATACGCTCTGCTGGAAAAGGTTCACAGACGTGCATCGAAAGCTGTTCTGGGGCTTCGTGATCTCCCGTACCCCATTCGATTCCAGCAGCTAAATCTGTTCTCCCTCGAGCTACGCCGTCGCCGGGGTGATCTCATCTATACTCGGCGCATCCTCCGAGGGGAACTTGAGAGTGAGTTACAGCAATTCTTTCGGCCTAAAACTGACTGTTCCACACGAGGTCACACATGGAAACTGTTTAAGCAAAGAAGATAGAATTCGCATGGACGACATTCTACCCACTAGAGTGGCGGATGATTGGAACAGCCTACTGGGAGAAATCGCAGACGCTCCATCCGAGGAAAGTTTCAAGCGGCTGATAGACAAGCATTCGCTGAGAATGTTGGAATCTTGTGGCTGTCACTGCAATTGCGACGAACCTTCGAGGAACGTCGTAATGCAACGACACGCATCAAACCCAGTATGATACAGAATCGATGGGGCTGACAAGACATTTCCCTCCTGCTCTCTACAACTCAAAGAACAATGAAGCTGAATGTGTAACTATCCATAGCAAGCCAAGTCCTAGGTGTCCGTATAATGAAAGATGTGAAATCAAACGTACTTAGTGGTCCTGAATGTATGAATGCGGGTGCAGTCTAAGTGCCCTATATGGGATAATTGTCTGGAAAGCACGGTAAACTGAAAATGACACAGCGTCGAATTCGCCACGACCGACCAATGAGATTTTGACAGTGTAGCTATGGTACAGCAGGTCAGGTCAGGTCAGGTTAGGTCAGGTCAAACGGACGATAAAGGCTTTCGCCAAACGAGCGTCGTTTCTTGTGCCGGTAAGTGAAGCGGTCCCCGGCACTTCGATGTTGTATTCGTAACTCGATTTTCTGGCGTGCCATACTGATCGAGCTTTTCAGCTGAAATAACGTACGTGGGAAACAGTGTTTGAATAAACACTTGAAACGAAATTTGACTATTGTCAAATTTTCTCTTATCCAAGATATCTTGGATCGATTAAAGTGGTATTGACCAAAGCGTCTTTGGCGCTTACTGGTAGATTTTCCGGTTGTTCCCAGTTTTAATCCCCTTTGGTACCCTGTTTTTGCATTTTTATTGCGGTCGTTTTCCTATTGTATACGCGTTGTACTTCTACTCTGTTTTTCACATGAACATGGCTGTCCCGCTAAACACCGAGACGGATGGATCTATGGGGTCTACTGTAGCTTGCGGACAGATTAACTGTTCAGAGCCAGTAACAGATGTATCTGGCGGTATGCAGTGTGACGTTTGCTGCCACAGGTATCACGAATTCTGTACCGGCCTACAAGCTGACCAGTACGAAATGCAATCATCAAGCGTTCACTTTCTTTTCAGCCGTGTTGTATGCTGGGCTCCAAGGTCGACGCGCCCGACTATCACCAGTGCCAAACTTTCAGCGCTGGCTTCAAGGTTTGCAGATGTTGAGGAGGCGATAGCTAAACTCGTCTCTATTGCGTTGCTTGATACGAAAATGGATTTGATTTTAAAATCCCTGAATATTTCGTTTGAAGACACTGCAATAGACGGCAACATTGCTGACGATCCATCCACTGGAGTCTACCACTCAGTCATGAAGTCGCACATCCTACCGACCAATTCAGGTAGCATTGCTGGCTATTTAACGGGCAACTGCTCACAAAATTAACCAGTCCCATAGTCTATCCAGAGTGCTATGTAGGGTCAGTGGAACAATCGGTCGGTCTATCGTGAACAAGAGCTTCAATTCATCCGCAAACATTAGGGGTGGCACACCCAACTCATCGGGTAGGTCAATAACGTATAAAGTGAAGAGAAGATGGCCAACTACTGAACCCTGCAGAACGCCACTGTGAACACCTTGGCGCAAGGACGGGCTTGAAGACACCGCACACACATTTCCTTCAGCTTAGGAAAGCTGAAATCCATCGTAAGACTGGTCCAGAAACGTCGTAGGACTTCAGCTTGTACAAAAGGCGCAAAGGTGGAACGGTGTCAAAAGCTTTGGAAAAAACAATGAACGGAACGTTCACCGCCTTTCCGCGATCCACGGCTTCGGCTCAGTGTCCATGAGAGGTTAACAAGTTAGTAAGGCAAGGACAGCCTTTACGAAAGCCGTGCTGAGACGGATTAAGCGAAACAAAAGCTCGCAAGTGTCCCTCGTGAGCGTCCCTCACGAGTTTTACAACACCTTTACCAGCACGCTTGTCAAACTGACCGGTCTATAGTTATCAGGGAGGTGCGTATCACCTTTCTTAAAAATGGGACAAACGATAGTCTCATTCCAGTCAGTGGGTAAAGACAGCCTCATAGAGACTTAACACAAGTTGCGTAATCGGACGGCAAAGTTCACCAGCCAACTCCTACAACAGTTTGGGATGAATGGCTCTCCACCGGCAGCTTTAATTGGGAGGCAACTTGAGCCTCGGTTATAAGAAACCTCCAAGTGGGAGCCGGGGTCAGGTAATCTTTTGCCTGCGCGACGTGATACACGCGGCGTCTGTGGACTCGCTCTAACATGAACTCCCAGAGCCAAAGCTGTAACTTGCCGAGGCAAACAGAGCTTTATGTCGTGGAACCGTGACCCAGCAGTGCCGTCCGGATGCCAACAACAACTATCTGGGGGGGGGTGATGCACAGAATTTGATGTAAATGCATTAACGTGACCTTGTTGAAACAATAAGAACTGCATGAAGCTGTTTCGGGTTTGGTGAGAGCTATATGAGCAAGCTCTACTTCATGCTGTAGACGAGCCCTGCGTAGAT